CCAACCCCGTGGAGGGCCTAATTTGGTATGTTGTCGAACAAGATCATTGATGAGATCCACCATGTGCGTCCCAGGCATGGGTTCCCCCTTCCACCACGAATTGACCCGCCTCATTCCAACCCAAGTCGGGATGAGCACGAATACGGGCCATCAACTGCCTGGCCTTGGTCTGTAGCGCTTTGGGAACCGCTTTGCACGACTTCATTCAGAATGGCTTCGACATCATCGGGTTCTGAAACAAAAAAGAACAAACAAACCATGAGCCACTGCTTCTATTTACCGCTTCGTGGACTCCTTCTTAGGAAGGCGACCTCTACGCAGGCACATGCAGATACACCACTCAGTAAGTCAACCGTTTCTACGGTGAGGAGATCCAGCCCTGGGGTGTCCGCGTCCTGGGGTGCCCGTCCTGGGAGTGTCCGGCCCTAGGGGTGCCCGTGGCTTTTAAAGGTTTGACCGCCGGCTTGATCTTGAAACGCCAAGGTGTGTTGCAACAAGGTGTTATACTGTTGCTCTCGGTCCCTAAAAGGAACCGTGTCATCACGGACGAGGGTATCCATATCGCGAAGCGCAGCATCGCCAGCTTCTGTTCCAACAGGTTGGAATTGAGCAAATGCCGTTGACGTTTTTCTTCTTGCAGACTTTGCCATACCTCTTCTGGGACCATCACCATCTTCCGTGCATGTTTCATCTTGGTGGTAGGACGGTGCAGATGCAACTAACCCCAATCTAGGATGCACCCTCTATTTATGATCTTCCTTGAGGATCTTCCTTGAGGATCTTCCTTGAGAGGATCTTCCTTGAGGATCATCTACCCAACAGGCCAGACACCAAGGGACCCACCACCGATGCCAAGGCAGACAAGAGACCTAATCCCCTTTCCTTTCTGCTGTAAAAGTTGACGTTTCTTGGACACAGACACCTTCTTTTTCATCAACGTATGCATCAGTGACCCATGCTTTTGTAAACGTTGACGTTGCTGTGCTGTCATAGGAATGTTGCCTCCATACAAATTCACCACGCATTCACAGATGGCTTGAATCAGTTCCGATGGGGCCTGTTTCAAAATAGCCTGTCGCGATGGCTGGTGTCGCAGAAGGACTACACATGACAGAGCTTCTTTGTGACGCTTTTAAACGCGCCGACATGATGATGGTGGTGTCGTCCCTGCAGCTGCTACCGCTGAACTGACCAGGATGGGTCGGGAGGCCTCTATTTATGGTAATGTCGCTGGAGGGAGTGGGGGTAATGCCGCTGTGGTCTTCTTCTTCTTCTTTGACTTCAGAACACCATCCGGGTCAAGGCTGCACCTGGGGCTGAGGGGAAGTGACCCTTTTCTTCTTCTTCTTCTTGTTCTCTTTGTCGGGTGGGTGACTTGGCGACGTCCCTGGGCTGCTTAGGGCACGGCGGCGACGGCGCAGGTGCTGAGGGCTTCTGCTGTTTTTCCTGTAGGTAGGACTGCCAGTTCAACAAGATAATGGTCAACACACCAGCCAACGTACTCACTTCCACTGCGTTTCATCAGGTAACTCAGGCGCTCATCCATAGGTAGTCGTGGATTCGCAATCTTGGTCAGCATGTCTTGGTGTCTCAACAGCCAGGTCTTGTGCTGCGCCTTCAAAGGAACACGCCCTGCTCGCAGATTTCACACGGCAATGACAAACCATTGCAACAGCCGATGACGTCCTTTGACAGCCACGCCTCTGCCGAACGGAGTCGCTTTTCACGATGATGGGTTTGACTTTTCTGCGGGCGGGCATGCTTCTGTGGCTTCCTTTGGCGCGGGGTGCCTGGGCTGGGGCGTTTAGCACCCGCGCGTTTCTTGCCGGTGCCTTTGGTGCTGGTGGTACGCCCGCTGGGTCAAGGGTTGAAAGGGTTGAATCATGGTGGGAGAGAGGGGAGACGATGGGAATGAAGGGGAGAGGCCGGAAAAGAAGAAGGGGAGAGAAGGCAGCAGGAGAGGCACGATACGCACTGACAGGGACAAACGTGTTCATGGTGGGTGCTGTGGGTACAACTGCTTTAAGGAACGTCTTTGTTTGGAGGAGGAAGCAGAGGAGGAGGAGCACTTAGACTTTCGTGACAGTCGTTGCACACCCGACCGATGTTGTTCGGTGGGATCACGACCCAAGGTGGTCAGGAGTGTTTTATGGATCGGTTTAAACAACCCTGTGGCAACAGCACGTTTGGCGGGCTGGGTCTGTTTCCGCCTGTCTCCCATGGCAGCTCTGGGTCAACTGACCGTAGGGTAGACGATCATCTCTATTTATCACGACTTGGGAAATGTAAAGGATGGTGGGATTACGAAAGAGATGGGACCGCATTAACGGTGCTCTTTGGCCGTGGTCGGTTTCAAGTCCAGAAACAAATAGGAATAAGGAGCCAAAGTGGCATCCTCATAGGCTTCCCGGCGGAAGGCCGTCTGTCCTGGAAAGATTTGTCTGGCCAAGTGATCCATTTGCGATGGCGGGCCCCTCGGTTTTTAAACAGCACCATGTAGTGGGCATTTAAACTAATGGTGCGATGATGAGGCGATGAAGCAAAGAGGTTTTATACAAGTACAACACGGACGGTTACGATGATGACTTTTCTTGGTAAACCATCGCAGAACTTCGGCTTCTTCCTCTTTGGTATTGTCGCCCAGCAAATCATCAATGATCAACCAATGGGGCGTAGGCAAACCCTTCTCGGTCTTAGCCCCAGACCCTGCAGGTAACTGCGTGTTGGCTTCCCCCATCGTTTGCACAAACGTCAGGGGTATCCCTAACCTCGAAGTCAGAACTTCCAAGTCCTCATGCATGGGTTGCCATTCACTGTACACCCACACGATGCCCTGAGGTGGAAGATCTAGGATCCCCGGTTGAAACACATGTTCCATGAAGGCTTTGACAAACGATGTTTTACCTGACCCTGTAGGGCCTGCAATTAACATGGTAAAGGGATGACGTAACGTGAGTGGGGTGACCATGGCCTCCACCAGGTCTGAGTCTAACACTGTCCCTGATAGTGTCCCTGACATACTGACACACGTCTTACCACCCTGCGGGTTGCACCGGAAATGACCTCTAAGAGCTAAGATCCCTGAAGATATAGAAGACACAACCCTTTGAAAATGGAATTCACATTTTTATTGAGGAACAACATCAACATAGCAAACAGATCAACAATAATGATGCATTAACAGATCAACAACAACAACAGGTCATCCACAGATCACCACCAGTTCAGGTGATCCTCGGGATTGCAAGTCGAACACCGTAAAAAGTCCATTTGACCGGGATGAAAATGGTTTTCATCGTTAAACATGGGAATGTCGGCAAAAGTCTCTGGCTCCTCCTCTGGAGCCGTCACTGAAGCCATCACCAGATCCGTCTCTGGAGCCGTCACTGAAGTCGTCTCTGGAGCCCTCTCTGGAGTTGTCTGCTCTGCTTCCATGGTGATAGCCATCGGGAGTAGATCATACAAGTCTTGAAGATCTGGAGGTAACTCTGCCTGGGGGATCTCTTGGGGGCTAACAGGACTGATCCCTTGACCCTTCTCGCTCTCCCACAAGTCAGTCATCTCCAACTGTTTCTTTGGAGTCTGGGGTGCTTTGAGACTCTTAGGCTTGGGGGGGTGCCTTCTTGGTGAGTGTCTTGGGAGGGGACGTCTTCTTGGTGACTGTCTTGGTGGGGGCCTCCTTGTTTGACTTCTTCTTCTGTTTCTTTGGAGAAGTCGTGGCCAGGGTCCCCTGGGGAGGTGACGTCATCTTGGTGGGTGCCTTGGGAAGGGACGGGGTGGAGACCTTCTTCTTCTTCTTTGGAGAAGTCTTGGCAGGCGTGGTCTTGGGAGGTATTCTTTTTCGAGGCACGGGCTTGGGCGTCATGTCGGTGACCTCTGGATCGTTGGAGAACAAAGGTAGAGTGCAGGTGGCATATCGAAGACTATAGCTGGGTGGGTGAGGCCAGAGTTTCACCTGGAGTTTGGCCAGCAGCTTGCTGTACAGTACACCATGGTCATAGCTCATAGGACGCCCATTCCTCAACTTGAACACAATGTGGAACAGCTTGTTGAGGAAGGTCTCCCCTGCATTTTCCTTGGCATAAGCATCGTTGATACCGATGAGGATCAAGCGAGGACACGATCTGTTGGCGCTGTCGGAGAGGATACGCAAGTGGTCTTGGTGATACGCCATCCAGTAATAGTCTTCCTCAGTCAACTCACAGAAGCGACCCATCATGCCATACAGTGTTTCTTTTTCGGCTGAATATCTGCCAGCTTATGGATGATCGACGGCAACTTTTGTTCCATCACACGCAGCCGGTCCTGGAGATCCATGTAGTTGGTCTTGTATAACTGGCTTTGAGTCATCATGGTGTTGTGGAGATGGGCCATGTCAGAAGCAAGGTCCTTTGCCTCATGGCCAAGACGACGAAGGAAGAAGGAGGTTGCCTGGAGATGCCATCTTCAACGACTGAGCTGATGCAACTGATGACCCGCTCCAATCGATCCTGCGTTTTTATAGGCAACACCAGCAGCGAGAGCTATGACGTCACTTCAAATGACGTCACTTCAAATGACGTCACGATCGTGTTGTTTCTGGATGGCCTCTTGCACGGCTTTTCTGAACTGTTCTATAAAGTGTCTCTCTTCGAGATAAGTGGCAAGCACAAAGAGCAGCGTGAACAGCATGATGACGAATCACGATGGGGTCAGAGTCTTTTTATAGAGATACACAGGATGACGTCACGTGGCTCGTGCATGGATGACGTCACGTGGCGCGTGCATGGATGACGTCACGTGGCTCGTGCATGGATGACGTCATTGGAGTTGGTCCATGGATGGCGTCACTCACAACAACAACAGCGTGTCACGAAGATGCATGAGCGCTTTTCCCAACATGTTTTTCCCCGACCATGTCCAGGGTTTGTCAATATTCGGATGAGATACACCCATTCCTATTCCCCATCTTTGATCGTAGGGGCTAGCTTCAGCTAACGACTTTGGGTAGGATTGAATCAATCTCTGTTTCAAGTCCTTGTTCTGGGAAAATTTAGCGGTGATCGCCTTGGTCATCACCTCAAGACTGACCGTGTCCCACACTGTTTGAGTAAAGCCTTTCACACATCGCCCCAGACGTTTTTGCTTTGCTGGAACAGCCTCGTGCAGAATACGCCGTCCGCACTGTCCAAATCTCCAAAGTACATGGCTTTAGAGTACATGTAACACTGTTCAACACAATTAAATGTAACACCATCCAAGGTAAACACTGCTGGATGAAAGTTGCTGAACGGTGACTGGATTCCATAGAAGAATAACCAGGGGAGTGTCACTTGTGACTGTGCCTTGTCCGTGGGAGTCTTGAGACCCAGCAAGATCATGGCTTCTGCTTCTCCACATTCTCCAAAGCTTTGCAGAAGAGGGAGTAAGCTTGGGGTCCACGTCGGGAAGCATGTCTAACAATTCTCTGACACGGTCAAAGGAGGTCCGAGGTTTTCGATAATCTCTGCCTTCATGAGGATGGTCAGGACTTTAAACGCCATCAGTTTGTCTACCACGGCTTCGACCTGCTTGATAGCGATAGCAGCACGAGACCACAACGATTCTCCCTAAGCCTATTGCAGTGAACGGGTTCCATCCTTCTCTTTTCTTAGACAACAGAATCTGTAATGACTCTGACAGAAACGTCTCTTTATATATACACACAGGGTCGTGATGACGTCATAGGGTGTGTGACGTCAAACTAGAAAGAAAAAATTGTCGTTAGCAGAGCGTGGTTTCGATCCACGGGCCTCTGGGTGATGAGCCCAGCACGCTTCCACTGCGCCACTCTGCTCTCCCTCCTCTTCCCTTTTTTGTGACAGTACCTATGACATGGTAAACATGACCATGGCCTCCACCAGGTCTGAGTCTAAGAACAGGGTACAACAGGATTGAGGGTGACCATGGACTCCACCAGGTCTGGCCCTGAAGAGAGAGACGACATAACACAAGAGTACAATACAATTGCAATTTATTGAATGATAGAACAACAAATGAACAAGGCAATCACATTTTATGGGTTAAACATCAATCGATCAGAGCATGTCTACATCAAAAGTCCATGGGAGGGATGGGTTCACTCTTTATAGCCATAGGGGAGAGTTTCCTGGGGACGCCTTTGGGGTCGTATTTGCACTCGGCGTTTGGTGTAGACCAAACGATAGGTTTTGGTGGTGTCCTTGGACAGCAACACGCTGCCCTGAAGAAGTCCTCCGCGAATGATGCGGGTGTGGGTACCGGACCGTGATGTTGGCTTGATCCTCTGACAGACGAGGTTCTTCATGCTGTCAAAGTGGACATGTTGGCTCGCCCTGTGATTTAAAGTAAATCCTCGACCTTGCTGATGCCCACACTGCCGTCCAGATTGAGGATGGCGCAGCTTGTAGCCATAATTTTGGGTCCTGCTGAGACAAAGGTTTGAATGCTGTTGCCCCTCCCAGTTCATCAGTCAGCTCCCCAAGGTATCTCCCAGTGGCGGGTTGTAACTTCGTGGACGGTGAATGTAAATGATACTGTCCGTATCAAAATAGAGGACACGTCGATCCAACGGTTGCAAATAAGAATACAACTTGAGACGGCTTGTGCTGTCACCCAGGCTGCAATGGCCACATTGTGGGCTGGATGAGGGTCGTGAAAGTCTGCCTGAGGTTCATGAGTGACACAGATGAGGTCTTCATTGATGATGTTAATGTCTTTCACCACACGACGCTCATCCCAGAGGAGGGCAAAGTACCTCTCAGGGGAACTGATATATTCCGTCTTGGCAAAACCCAACGCTTGACCAAACTTGCCCCAGTGATTGTTCAGGCAGGCCTTGGCTAAGGCACGTAGTCCTGGTTTTTGTGAATGCGAGCAGGATCCAAGGTGACTCCCTCTTCTGCTGTATCTCGTGGATGTAGGCTTTGGGTCTGGACAACCTTCGGGTAGCCACTGGCCTCTTGCTTGATCTTGAAGAAATTGTTGACATACTTGGCAAACAGTCCTCCCTCTTGGGTGTCAGGGTCGTAGGTGGCAAGCGTGTCAAAGTGCCAAGCCTCAAAGATGTGAAGCACTTGATAGCCGCACTTTTCAACAGCAAACTGAAGCTCTTTGCTGACATAGGTACCGATCCATGCCCGGTCTTCATCCCCGTGGGGGTGGGGAGCATCCAACTGCTCTTCAGCACACGTGACGGCACAGTGGAAAGAGCAGTTTGCCTTGACACTTGTAAGGAAGAACAGGATGATAGAGGTCGGTGGGTGGCAAGACTCGGCACTGGATCAGGCCGTGGAGCTCAAACAAGTCAGACACGGGAGGATGATCTTTGATCCGGGTGTCCCACGGGAAAAGTACCATACTTTGCAGATGTAAGGGTACAGCGAGCAAACGTCCACATATTTGATTTCTTCATCTTCTTTGGCTTCGTAGTACAGTTTGGTGGCGCTGGCACGACCTCCAAAGAAAGCATCTCTAGGATTCAACGGTCAGGCATGTAGGCATGGGGTCCTTGCAGGGTAGTCAGGAAGGCTCTCAGATCACCGTTGTCTTTCTGTTGTTTCAGAAAATCACATTCCCAGAGGGTCACCACTTGGCCAATGTCGGGATGTTGGCGTAACACACCCAGTCGGTACATGGTATGATGGTATCGCTCCTGGGTGGTACCCAAGCTAGCATGGCGTTCACATCGACTCGCCTTGTAACAGCGCAGTACAGCCATGCCAGAAACAGCCCAAGTATTCGCATGACACGGTGCGTGTCTTGGCGCCGTGAGCCATCTGCCATGTAACGACTTCCGCCAGCACAGTCAAAGCCTACTTCCCACCATTCCGAGCATGTTGGATGTGGACCCCAGGGTGTTGATGCATGACCCAGTTGAGCCAGTGGAGACACTGAAGCGAAGTAGCCACGCTGGGGACGATAACCTTGAGTAGGTAGGATGGCGATGGTACGGGTTCCAAAACTGTTTTCGAAGGTGAGCATGCAAGCCATGGGTAGAGTCACTGCTTCATAGAAAGGGTCCACGTTGTTCTGTTGAATGAATATGTTATGGAATGCAGCACAGCCTCGACGCAAAATGTCCACATCACTCTGACAGTAAGTCAACAATTCTTCATCCAGATCAAAGACAGTCCCTTCAGCCACCCGCATCGTATCAGGCCAAGAAAGCTTTGCGTTCGGCAGAAAACATGCTGTCAGGATCGTAAGTAGACACGGGAGGATAAGGACCCACATAGCCTTGGTGAGCTTCGGTGTTGAAGAAGTGAGGGAAGTAGCCTTTCTTGAGTTCCGTCAATGCAAACGTTTTTGGAAACTGCTTCAGAGCCATCGTGAGGAAGTTGAGGGAATCCTTGAAAACAAGACGTCCCACGGTCATTTGCAAGATGTGATTCCCACGTAGTGTGACCTGGGGTGCTTTCACGAGATGTTGATGGAAGTACTGTTGGAGCAAGTGTCCATCATACCCACGGTAGTTGTGTGCAATGACCAACACGTCGTCATCATCAATGGTAGGAGAAATGTCATCTTCGTCGTCTTGTTCTTTGTCGTCGTTGTCTTGTTCTACATCATCATCATCATCGGGTTCTGGTGATGACCGTTTGGGTTGTTTGGAGGCACGGCCTGACGGCTGCTGCTGGGATGCCTTACGTTTCTTCTTCTGCTTCTCTTTCTTTTCCGCCAGACGCATCAGCCAGTCGCCCATGTCCTTCAAGGTCGTCGATCCCCGAAACACTTTGATGCGGCTAGGCCCTTCTCCTTCCTTACGCCAGGGACACTTGTCGCACAACTGATTGGAAGCCTCGGAAATACATTTTCCACATCCTAGATGCACTACACACAAGTTGGGAACATGAGTTCCTTGATCTTGAGTACATTCAAAGTCGTAGAAGATGAACTGACGCTGTTGCCGTTCTTTGTCTTCATCCATTTTTTCACCGTCTTCATTTTGTTTCGGTGGTTCGATGACGGACATGTAGCACTGGTGGTTGGGTTTCAAGGGTTCTTTGCAGATCTTGCAGTCACGATTCGTGCCACACTGGTGGTTGACCATGCCCTGGATTTTTCTCACGTTGACTTTGGCATAGCAATGATGACAGGTGTGGATGGTGGAGCAGGTGCTGGGATGCTTGGCGGAGGCCATCCGATGGCGTTGAAAGCAAGTAGGGTTTCGGAACCATCCGCCACATTGGAGACAGGAGAGTCCTTCACTGACCACGTCACCACAGTATCCAAGACATTGACACCAGTAGCAACGAAATTCTCGGGTGCAGCGATGATCTTCAGCGTGGTCGTAGCCTTGGTCACACGTTTCACAATAGTAACTATACCCTGTAAAAGCAGGCATGGAGGTAATGACATCGTAATGGTGATGGTGATGATACAAGTGAAGGATCTTGGTGGGTTGAGCCACTTCACTCTTGTACAGGAGTCGATTCAACACCTCTTGGGAGTAGACTTTGAGCTGATAGTAAGGGGCCAAACGTTGACTGAACAACTCCCACGTGGCACGCCCTGTACAAGGCCCTTCGGGGATCTTGAGTTGGCGAAATAAACCCTTGGCAGCCTTCAACTGCGCTGGTTTACGATGGTCACACAGGTATTTCCATTCCGTCTTCCATTCTTTGGTCACAGGATCGGGTTGGTGTGCGTGGTGACTGGCCACGACCAGGGCACGGGCAAAGCAGAGCTGATCCTCATTCTTGATTTGGACGATACATTGTTTCTTTTCCAGGAAAGCGTTTAAGCCAACGAGGTGTGTTGGCCGGCCGTGTCCCTCACCGATACGATCAGGATCCTCTACATGCAGTAAGAAAATGTCCATGGTGTCATCGATATGTAAGTCGTGGTTGCTTTGCTGTACTTTTTCCACTTCGCCCATGATGTGTTCCCCCTGGAGGTCACCCATCCGCCGAAACGTGATTCGGATGTCTGTATCCAGGGCGGGGTGTTCCAGGGCCAATCCCACGCGATCACCATCCTGGCCACCCACATCGTCTCTCAGATCTGCTAACACGGCATCAAACTGTTCTCTGAGAACGACGGGAAGGTCTTCAGGCTGTTGACGCTGCAGCCAAACAGGGTTGAACTTCAGGTGGTAGCGCTGGGTACCAGTCCGGAATTTCTTGGTTGTTTTTTGAGTCGTCCGCTCCAACTCGTAGGGCACAGGCTCCTCTTCAAGTTCATCTTCGTTCATTCGTGGTGACGGCATGGTGAGAACTGGTAAGACCCACGCTGAGCCTGGTTTATATACATCACGTCACCCTATGACGTCACAAAAGGTCGTGCCAGTGCGCACCATGAGCTCATGTGTTATTTATAGGAATGATGTCATACCCATGACGTCACACTAGCCTGTTGAGTCAGGAGGAGAGTGGTGCGAACCGGATGCAACCGGTGCGAACCGGATGCGTCAAAGTGACGTCATCAACCCCAGCTATATAAATTCAAGGTTTTCCAGCACTCCTCATCAGTTGCTCACTGAAACTGGAAGCATGCAGACGTCTCCCGCCTCCGTCTCCGCCTCCTTCCGTTGCCGCCTGTGCGAAACAGATGACCACAGTTATCTGCACTGTCCCAAGGTGACCTGTACCGAGTGTGGTGCTCAAGGTCATCGCCATTACGTATGTCCCAAGAAGACCAAGGACAACAACAAGCACGATAACAACACCTGCTACAACTGTGGAAAAAACGAAGGTCATCTCAGTTACGCCTGTCCACATCCCTGTCGCCACTGTGGTCAAGAGGACCATAAGAGTATGAACTGCTCTAACAAGGGCCAGAAACGTCCGGCATCCACCTACCAGCCAAGTGAACCGCCAAAGAAAGTGAGTAAACGTGAAAGCCAACATTTACTGGCTCTACTCCATGACAAGGTCCTCCTCGTTCAAGATCGCATAGACACCATGTACTCTCTACTTCAACGCATCTTGGAGTTTGTCGAACCCATGGACGATTCCAGCAGCACGGCCTCCAGTGCACCACCATCACCACCATAGATACCTCGGTGATCTCTCACCCACTCATACCAACGGCCCTTTTCAGGGCCACCCACCTGGCTCGAAAGAATGCTCCATCCAATGTTTTTTAACCACACACACACACACACACTTGTCTAGCCACGCCATCGTCCGCCTCACCCCCTCTCTCTCCCTCCTTCCCTCTCCTTCCCTCTCCTTCCCTCTCCCTCCCCTTCCCTCTCCGTCCCGTCCCGTCCCGTCCGCCGCTCGCCCGTTCCGCCATCTTGAAACGCGTCTACGCTCGCGAGATCCCGCGAGACTCCACGAGATCCCGCGAGATCTCACGCGATCCCACCGGAGGGGGCGCCATCTTGAAACGCGTCCGCCATCTTGGCCCGGAGATGACGTCATCGTCATGCGCGCACAACCACCGGAACCGGACGTGACGTCATCGCGATGCGTGCGCACACACCGGAACCGGAAGCACCGGAACCGGAACCCGAGTGATCTCCCCCTGACCGGAAGTGACCGGATCCAAGATGGCGGCGCCCAGGGGGACCGGATGTGCCGCCATCATGAAAAAGGCGCCAGGGTAACGTTGTTCACTACTGTTATTCGATGGTGATTTATTTCATTCGGATATGTTTGGAAGTCTGTAAATAATCGAGTCTGGGCCAGACAATCCAGTGATCAACATCATGAGCAAGCATCGATATACGAAACTGAGATACGATGACATGTGTCAACCATGTCAGCGAGCCTGACCACCCGATCTCGTTAGTCGCCTCGTACGAAGATCAGTTCTAACCCGGATCTTCGCGGATCACCAGCCTAGTAACGTTTTTGTAATGTTTGTAAAGTTTAAGTCAAATCAAATTTGCAAGTGTAAACTTTCTGCAGAATACTTCAAAGTGGCATATATAATATAGTGTATAGGGTGGTTTCACGAGGGATGACTCACACTGTTACAATCAGATCTACCGTGTCAGCGCCGTCATCATACCCCACAGGGTCCTAAAGGCACTATCCATCGCTGTGATCGCAAAACAGTAATTAAAGAACACATACTTACGATTGTTGTACTGTCTTCTTCTACAAAGGAAGCCAGAGAAGTATCTCATTACGGGCAGATTTGGAGAAAAATAGAAATGTCAGCTTTAACTTCGGTTTAGTCTTTACGCCGGTCATTTTACCGGGAATAATTAGACCAGTTTCCTGATAAAAGTTTTAAAAGGAACGATTCTTTTTATTTATCAACATATTGCACATTTACATATTGCGCCCGAGGCTTAAATACGGAAAATCACTGTTCTAGTGATGACATATTTTAACCTTATTAAACCCAGGGCTTAAATTCGAAAATGCGCAATATGTTGATAAATAAAAAGAATCATTCTTTTTAAAACTCTTTTATCAGGAAACTGGTGTATAAATTCAAAATTGAATGACCACATGGTTCAATGTAACTGCAACTGCACGCACATCATAGGGGTTAAGATGATCAATTTCTGTCTCTAATAACTGCCCTGTAACTGGTGTCGAAAATGTTCTGTAAACGTGATAACTTCGCAGAGGCACTACTAATGTTAAAAACGTCGAAGTTCGCCATGGCGTTTGGAAAGGGACGTCACTCTAAACACCCAAGAATTAAATCCAAATTTAAGCCCATGGGCTAAATTTCGCGTGGGCCTTAATACGGGAATATCCGGTAACTTGTTTGTTGTTTAGCGCTGCGCTAATGTTTTAGGTATATGGCGACTGTCCGTGTCCGTAAATAATCGAGTCTGGATCACACAATCCAGTGATTAATATCATAAGTATTGATCTGCGCAATTGGGATACGATGATACATGTCAACCAAGACAGCCAGTCTGACCACGGATTTCGTTAGTCACCTCTTACGACAATCGTGGGTTGCTGAAGACCAACTAACCAAGATTTTCACGGGTCAGTAAACTTTGTAGCAGTAGTAGTAGTAGTTGTTGTAGTAGTAGTAGTAGTAGTTGTAGTAGTAGTAGTAGTAGTAGTACATCGGTAGCAGTAGCAGTACGAGTACGTTCCTCGTAATTTTGAAATAATCGTCAGTTTTAACTTACAGAATCAGATAGAAATAGACCTTTTACGCGTATGTAAATGTCTGTTTTTGAGATAAGAAAATATATACGTCAATATTTGACCACACCAAAGGTTATATATTTATCATTTAACGCGTCATCCACTGACGCGCGTGTCTTGTGTATGCAGTTTCTCCGCAGAACTCTGTAAAGCCATATCCTTGTACGATGTCGTTTATAGAATCAAACTAACCACACTTTGCAGTTGCAATCATGAACTTAAGAGCATTAAATATTTCTGAATAAAGCAAAATACATTTGTAAAGGACAGTTTAAACGTCGTTTTGCGCAGAATTTCAGTTATATCACAGGGTGTCGGCCGAATTTGGAAGAGGGGCGGTGGGGTAGCCTGGTGGTTAAAGCATTCGCTCATCACGCTGAAGACCTGGGTTCGATTCTCCATATGAATACAATGTTTGAAGCCCATACCTGGTGTCCCCCGCAGTGATATTGCTGGAATATTGCTAAAAGAGGCGTAAAACTAAACTCACTCACTAACTTGAAAACGTGAAGTGATGCAGCTCTAAGGGGTTTGCTACAGTTGTAAAACGCTTGATTGTGGTGACAATCCCTGGAAACACAATCAGGGCAAATCTCGGACTCGAACACGTACAGGATCACTGGTTTGGGGCATGCCCAAGGGACGCAACCCTGCAAGTATTGCTCTTTAGACTACGGGGCCGTAAAACCCCTAACCATCAAAACGATTGTTGGTTGTGCATTAACTCATTAATTTCAAGGCCAGTTAGTCGCAGTCTTTATGTCTATTTTATTGGGGAAATTATTTTCCGCTCAAGTCCGGTCAAATCGATTTCAATGTAGCAATATACACAACCAGCTCTCCCGCTGCGCTCCGACGTAATACAAATCTGTAATTGGCGTTCTTATCAGTGACCTTTTAAACGTCGGTAGGCTTTTTCTTGTTTTTACCATAGCAATACCACCCTCGAAATCCCCCAGATCAATCAAACACGGGCCCTGGGAACAGTTCGGCTATTATAGTCATTAATCCTTTATCACATCGACAATAAATTGATATGAGGGCATTCGGTTGTTGATTTCCAATACAGAACGCCAGCCAGCCGAAGCAGTGTTGATTCAAGACATCATGGCAAGGTGTGCAATCGCCATGTTTACAAGATGGCGGACATTTCAATAACGCGATCTTCAGGGCCCTTCAAGCGGCAGGGGTTGTCTGGCAAGACAAGTGGTTCTTTGAAATGGTCGTGTCGAGACTGCAATTATTGTCCACCACTGTTCAACGACGTACAAGGGTTCGACACTTTTTTCCAGGTCTTTCTTTCGCCACGGGTCATTGGCGCGAAAGAGCAGACGTCAACTTGGATTTGTGTTTTCGTGACAAGGACCGACTGGAACAAGATTGAATCAATGTTGAGTATCGACAATGGGTGTCTATCTCTCGTCACACGGAGCGTGAACACCGCTTACCTTTGACAGTCGAGCTAACAGCTCGGAACATTTTAAAGGCCATCCGGGAAAGTTCGAACAGTGATCGAGTTGTCTGACGTGGTGATATTTGTTAGTGGCAACGTCCACGGGAGGTTGCTGTTGGTTTAAACTCATTTGACAGGTGTATATCGGCACCGTCGTTTTTGACATTGACAAATCGGACGAGGAATTAAAACGATTACCTTACAACGTTAATCTGGAAGAATGAGTGTTAAAGTTTGAATTTTCCAGTTGGTGATTTCACTTGGATTAAACAGGAGTTTTTCTAGTTGTCTGTTTTGACGATGAGATATATGTGTGTTAAGAACAGTCAAGATACGAGTCCGAGATAGTATGGATATCACTACATGTCAATTGCTATGTGGTATATTGCACAGGTGTCAATAACACTATATATACACTGACGTCTCATATACGGAACTGTGACATGAAATTAACTAGCGGTCGTCGTACACCACGTGATCACGGTTCCCTAACGCCTATATCCTTTTGTGTGAACTATGAAATGATCTTTGGATAGACCCCTGGCGTTTCTATAGAAACCATCCGGAATGTGTCAACCTATTCCACGTTCATCATTAAAAGCCCAGGAATCGTGCCTGCACGTTGACGGCATGGAGATAAATGACAGGATGATATTGACGAACTTGTGGATGGACCCAACAGCTGATGTGCCGTGAGTATCATATGTGCAACAGTTTGACTAAAATGATAATAATGTGTTGATGATGATGATGCTGTTGAAAAATAAAACTGTGCATTAAATACATTCTATTTGATTTAAGGGGCCGTTTATACAATATACAATGTGAATGACCCCCTCCACCCCCCAAAAAAAATAAAGAAAAAAAATATGTACAGAGTAAAAGGCCAAACCCCACCCCACACACACACATGTCATGTACAAAAATCAATGACATCAAACCCCCACCCCATTCCCATAATTTGTAAGCATGATTTCTAAAGATTACATGTACACAATTGCTGACACACCACACGACACACCCCAGTACATGTGTACAATATTGTTTCTACACATGGACGCATTAATTAATATTTTGGGCCATTATTGGGATCGGGTGGTCAGACTCACTGACTTGGTTGACACATGTCATCGGTCCCCATTGCGCAGATCGATGCTCATGCTGTTGATCAGTGGATTGTTTGGTCCAGACTCGATTATTTACAGACCGCCGCCATATAGCTGGAATATTGCTGAGTGCGGCGTAAAACTAAACTCACACTCACTACCCCAAAGCAGGCACTAATCGGCCCCGAGTCGTTATACTGTGTCTGAGTGGGGTGTTCATGTTGAACTCCACAATATTCCCTCATACGACCAGCGTGTCTCAAGCACGTCACCATATTAGTTACATCGAAGGCGACATGAAACCTTATGTGTAGACTCAACGTAGTGTATACCTTGACATTAGTTAATTGAATCCCACAATGGGAATAGTATGTGAATTATTACGAAGAATAGATGCGTATCATACTGCTATCATCTTGGTAATACAGATTGAAAAAAGTCTACTGCTGCATCATTTTATTGGAAAAATAATTATTGCCTATAGAGTGGGTGTCAGGTTTCTTATCTTGTTGAGTATACAGGGCTGATTGGGTATACCATTTTTTTCTCTTGGAGCAAATCCCATTTTAGTGTTGAAATAATGTCTGATTTCGTTAACGGAACAAATCGAAATTAGTATTGAATGTAGGGACTATGCCACATATATCGAACTTTTTAACAGTTGTTTAACAGTGAAAGAAATGTATGTGACTCCATGTAATATATATACATACTGCACTGTTAAGGTTCAAGTGCCTCTTGGTAACCGTAGCCTAGTTTAAACAAGATACAGTACATGATCCTTTAAAATTGGCGGGGCAATAAAATGCGTATTAACCTCCCGGCGAACGGAACAAGTGTCGAAACAAACTAGTGCCACGTATAATGCGCTAACGCAATCTCAATATCAACTCTCTATAGAGGTGTTTGTTGGAGAATATTGCTTGAACATTGCGTGCGTAGAACAGGATACAATGTAACGTGGTAATGCATATACCGTTATATGGATATTGTCGCGACAGCGTAATTGTGGTTCGGTGTGCAGCTTTCAGCATGGTTCACTGCCTCGGTGCTACAGTGGTGTGGTGAGTGAGTGAGTATAGTTTTACCCCGCTGTAAGCACCATTCCAGCCATATCATGGCGGGGGACGTCAGAAATGGGCTTCACACATTGCGCCCACGTGGGGAATGGCGCCCGGGTCTTCGACGTGACGAGCGAACGCTTTAACCACGGGGCTACTCCATCCATGAATGTCCGGGTTCGGTCCCACATGGGTGTAGAGGCTAAAACATAGGTGTGGTTTTATCTTGAACACGTTTAGTATTTGTACAGTGTCCACAGACACAGTGTGTGAATTCCTCACTTTACAAAGCGTAGGATTGGGTACGGAACTCAATTATTTAGATCAGTTTTGAAAACATATTGGTTGCTCACAACCATTTTAACTTAACTATAAATATCACGAAAACACGATACACGATCCCGCATGTCTGAAATGAAGTCTAAACGGATTTTTTTCAAACTCAAGTACATATTTATCAATATTAACAAGGCGAATAATCTGATTACTCATAGCAAAAGTCTCCATCAACGCCAATATTAATTAGGAACCGCTATAGGATATGTTCGCAACCCAGGAAAAAGAAAGAAAGAAAGTCTAACCCTCACAATAACCAAAGACGTGTATATACGCAAACCTAACCCTAACCTAACCCTGAGTATTAGAGGAAATGACTATTGGTAAACATGGTAAAATAGTTACAAAATAAGGTGGCGAACATATTCTATAATTGCACCATTAATAATGAACTACTAACAAATTATTTGGCTCTTTGCGCCCCTACAAGCGTTAGTCACCTCAGTGTACATTCTCTTCCCACAGAGGTTACTTGCATATCTTCCTGCGAACCTCTGTTCTACTACGGCCCTTTCATGGAGCGAGTGTTCAGGATTTGTGATTGGTTGCAATCACATTTAGTTGTGCAATCAGCCGCGTTGTTTCAAAAGTGATCATTCGCACGGCCTCGGTAATTTTCGTATGCGTCTGAAAAAACTATAGAACCTCTTCCCCTGCGCGATGCGCAAACGTTTTTTCTAGACAGAACTCAGTCATGTAAATGCGGATCAATGGGGCATCCATCGCCCTCGTTGATAACGGACAAGCTTGCCATTAAATGTCGTGTGTGTCACATCACCACAAGTCCCCGGCAGAGAAGAGGGATATTTGTGGACCCATTTTTGGATCTATGTCGATGTAACACGCGTTCTGATTGGATAGAAAGAAGGGAGATAATTCTTGTTGTGACTTTTTGCCGCTAGGGGATTTTACGAGAACCAGGAAAAATGGCCGAACAGAGGTTCGTAGGAAGATATGAGAAGTAACCTCTGTGGGAAGAGAATGCTCAATGTAGTGCTCCAAACGACTTGAGTCGCCAGGATCACTTTATCGACAGGGACCAAATAAAATCCGGATAATTTTACCGCCCAGAACCAAAACAAAACCCGGATCAATAGACTGGGAAAATC